CTTTTCCAAGGAGTCTTCTCTTCTCATGAGATGGCCAAAGTATTGGAGCCTCAGCTTCAGGATCTGTCCTTCCAATGAGCACTCAGGGTTGATTTCCTTCAGAATGGATAGGTTTGTTCTCCCTGCAGTCCAGGGGACTCTCAAGAGTCTTCCAGCACCACAATTCAACAGCAACAATTCTACGGCAGTCAGGCTTCTTTATGGTCCAGCTCTCACTTCCATACATCTCTACTGGAAAAACCATAGCTTTGAGTATATGGACTTCTGTTGGCAAGGTGATATCTCTGCTTTTTAAGATGCTGTCGAGGTTTGTCATCGCTTTCTTCCCAAGAAGCAGGTGTCTTTTAATTGCGTGGCTGCTGTCACCATCTGCAGTGATAATGGAGCCCAAGAAAGTAAAATCTGTCACTACCTCCATATCTAACCCTTCGATTTGCCAGGAGGTGATGGGACCAGTGTCCATGTTATTTCTGCATTTATCTTTTTTTTTAAGCTTCTTCAGGTAGTTTAGGAAGATTTGCTTTTTCCAAATAGTCCTTCATCTTCTTCCTGTTTGTTGCTTGTGCTTTATAGAAGTTGGTGCAAAAGTCCACTAATATACTATGTATTTGACTTCTTTGAGTTTGTAAATTACCCTTTATATATTTTAATCTATTTATTTGTCTCTCTTCTCTCTGTTTCTTCAGTGTATATGCTAGCCATCTTCCTGGCTTGTTTGCATTTCCAAAAAAAAAAATGTTTTGTAGCTTTTATCTATTGTGCCATTTCTTCTATAGCCATAAGGTTCAATTCATGTTTCAACAAGTCCATTTCCTTTTTCACCACTTTGTTATTAGGGTTATTTTGAAGTTCTAATTCCAATCTTTTATCTTATTCTTTCATGTTGTCGTATCCTTGTTTTCTCTTTTTATTTCTTTTAATTATATATGAAATCTATAATGAAGAACGCTGTATTTTGTTTTCTTTAAAGTAATATTGCATTTCTTTTTTAGCTTTATCTATGAATCTTTGTTCTTTCAAAATTGCCATGTTAAGGGTTCATCTTCCCTTTTGTTTTCTCCTTTCTTTCCAAACGATTTTAAATGGATTATGATCTGCCCATACGCTTGTTTGTATATTCAATTCGTCAATTCCTGACCTCAAATCCATCATTGTTCATGCCATGTCAATCTTAGACCAAGATATGTCAGTTCGAGTAAAATGTATACTGTAAGTTTTTTTATTTTATTTTCCTATAACATGAACATAAAATACATAAACCAAAATACTAATTAACTGTGTTCCCCACCACCATAGTCGGGACCTCTTGAAATAATCTTCTTCCTCCATCTACAGTGGGGTCTCGACTTACGAACTGAATCCGTATTGGAAGGCTGTTCGTAGGTCGAAAAGTTCGTATGTCGAATCTGCATTTCCCATAGGAATGCATTGAAAACCGGTTAATCCATTCCAATTGGAACCGATTGCCGTCCTTAAGTGAAAATCGGCATAGGAAACATCGTGGAGGGAAACGCGGTTCCCCAGTTGAAATGCACTGAAGCCGACTCAATGCATTTGAATGGGTTTGCGAAGTCCCTTTTCGCTCCTGTAAAAGTGTCTTAAACTGTTTGAAACCTGTTTTAAATGCTTGCAATCGTTAGCCCATCTCCTGAAACCTACGCAAACTTAATTTGGTGTTGTTCTGAGTCTTCGTTAATTTTTGGTGAATTTTTTT